CCCCCCCCCCCGGGGGGGGGGGGGGGGGAATTTCTGGGAGTTGAATTCCACACAGCTTAAAGTGGCCAAGGTTGAGAAACACTGCCTAACTCAGTTACTCATACCTCACCTCAGCATCATTTCATATAACGGCCAGCTGGCCGGCCTGCCTTCCTTCTGTCCCTTGACTATTAACTTTTCCCTAGGAAAAAAACTACCCTTGGAACGTGCACCTTATCTTGTTTCTATGGGGACAGCTTCTCATCAAGGTTAGTGAAAAGGGCCTCCAAGCTTACAAACTTGAAGAAAAGAATAAAACAGGATTCAGAAAACCCTTAATGAAAGTCTAAATGTTTCAGTACTAAATATAAGAAATTATATATGCGTATAAATATTGAATATTAAATATATTTGTATGTATTTATATAAAATCTTCTATCACAAGATTTACATGGCAATTGAAGACCCATATACTCCTGGAGTTTAAAAAAATCCTTAGGAGCAGCTGGTTGAATCCAGACATAGTTTCACTTTGGTTTCATGAAAATAATTGGGACAAGTTAACCACAATTTAACCTCATTTCCTTTGGTATCAGCTGGGCTAAAACCTAGCAGTCTGTTCTATATGCAGTCCAGTGTAATCAGCAAAGTAACTGTAAACTCCAACTTAGGCTTGAGTCAAATATTGCCCAAGATGATGGCTATCAAACTTGGTATATTTTTAAATCTGCAAGTGACTCAGTTCAGATGGAATAAGATGAAAAGAAAAATATAAAAATACTTGATTTTCTATTTCTAGCGTGGAGAGGAAAAGGAGGGGAGGACACTGGCTGATGTATATCTCAGTAAACTATGGTTTATTAAATACCAAAATATTTTTTAATTCTTTACAGCACATTAACTTAACAAATTCATCTGGCTCAGCCTAGGCACCAAAGGTTCTATTATTTTACAGTTTATAGCTAGTAGAATATTAGAAAAGATTAAAGGAAGGACAGGAGGAGCCAACTAAGATGTAGAAATGGAATGGAATTTTTATCTTGTTCTGGGGTTTCTAAATTGATCAGAGATAGCACCAGATTCTGGTCACTACTTCAATGAAGAAAACCCTCTGTTTTCTCCTTTTACAAAGATGTACATTCTGCCATTTGGTTAAGTACTGAATTCCTGAACTTTCTGGAAAATAAAGTATGATTAATTGCAGTTTATGTCCCATGATGAAACCTCCACTTTTATCTTGTGTCCATCTCTCCTCCATTCCCCAGTCTGATTTGCTCTCTGATCTAGAGCTGTATTCTTCTAGTAGAAGACATTAAACAGATGTTCAATGTTCTATCAACTTAGGCAACTATTCCAGAGATGCATAACTTGAGGCACAAGGGTCTCATGCAGAATTCCTGAAAGCATTGCATGCAAACTCAGCAGGATTACCAGAATGCAGGATCAAGCTAGGAGGCCGGCAAAACTAAAATCCCAGCAAGGTGAGCTGCAGATTCAGGAAATAAGATGCAGGGGGGCTGCGGAAAGGGTGAACACGTGTCAAAGCTGTTATGCTAATGGAAACCCTGACTCCTTGTCCAAAATACAGTTGATCTTATCAGCGTCCAGGCTGCAGATTCCAGCTTCCCCTCTTATTGACTCATTAATTTGTCTGTTTTTAACCTTCAGTCTCAGATTTGCATCCCTAACCCCCAGTTTCAACTGTGGATCCATTGGTATATACTTTGCATACTGCAGCCACCTCATGCAAATGACAAAGCAAATTAACCTCAACCACCACCGCAGGATCCACCTCAAAGGCCAACATATCCAGTCCTCCCAAGTGCAATAAGATAGATAATTTCATCATCTATCAAAGACCTGCACTTAGAGCCTTGTTAAAGTAGTTATGTAAACACAGATGCTACCTGCTCTATGAAGATATTACACCTTAGTTAAGAAATAAACCCTAGAGGAGGGATTTTCAATCTTTGTAGTGCCATGACCTTCTGAAATGATAAATGATGTTGGAAATGTCACAACAAAGAAGGAACATTTTATCATATGTGGTGGCTATCTAAAAAACCTCAAAAGTACTGGAAAGAAATGTACCAAAGCATTCAGTAATTTCTTAAAAATAAAATTTGAATTAAAACCACAAATATTTTTATTAGGTATGATCCCAGAGAACATAAATGAAAGGTATCATAATTTATGAAGATACATGCTGACAGTGGCAATAATCAATCGGCACAACATTGGGGGGGGGGGGGACTGGCCATCAGTACAGGATTGGAAGACTAAAATTGAAGAATATGCAGCAATGGAAAAACTTACTGTATATATACGCACCAGAAATCTAATGAAATTCAAGCAGGAATGGTTCCCTTATATACAACTCACCACATAGCTATGCAAGCTAAGACACTTACAGTACTGTGTGGTTTTTGAAGAAATAGAGAATCTGCTTTAATAATACTATAATAAAATATTAAAATGATCCAAACAGAAATGAGTAATAATGTTCAAAGTATAAAAGTATTCAGGTAGCAATTAGCGGCTCGGACAAATAATGGGGAGAAGCGGGGCTCACAAATGCTATATGT